CCTGCTCCTTACTACATACCTTCCCATGCTTTTATTATAACAGAAAATAGAGTGTTTGTAAGGCAGACTCCATTAGATCACTACGTAGTTTCATAAGAAAAACAATAATAATAATGATATTAACCCTTTCAGGGTCCGTCCCGTAGATCTATGGCTTTACGTTCAGGGTCCAAACCGTAGATCTACGTCATGAGCTCAGCTCACTCTGATAAACTGTGAGTGGTAAATTTCGGCCTAGATATGAGAGAATACATCTATGTGGTATGTGTGCACCACATAAAACAAATCCTGCAGCACACTGTGTATAATGAGAGAAAAAAAACTGAGACCAATGATTTTCGATTAAAACAGCGACTTTGCAGTGTTTTTTCGTATGTTTTTTATAGTTGTATTTGTGATTTCTTGGTCTCATTTGATAGAATGGAAGACATATTACAGAAATAGAGATAATTTTGATTGGTGTTAAATGGAAATGTTAAATTTTTGCCGATGTTCAAGAGTAAACAAACGACCTCACACATCTAATACACGCCAGCTGGTGGGTCTAATATACATTCACAAATATGGTGATGATATTTATACAATTATTACAATATTGCATAACAGTAAATCTTCTATTTTTTGGTGTGAATAAAAATTCATTATGTGAATAAAAAATCAAAATGGAATTTATTTGTAAAGCCTCAAAACATAACTAATGAACAGAGGAAATGTTAGTTTAGTGCCAGGAATACCTACATTGTTTATTCTGGACCTTATTTTGAAATTGGAATATTTTGAACTTTGTGTTAAATTGGCCAAATTACCAATTTCCGGTCACTTTATTTTGTAGTTGAAACAGTTGACTTGGCGATTTCTTGTGCTCAATCGATAGAATAGAAGTAATACTAGTGAAATAGCTGAGAATTTGGTCGACTGGAATAATGTAATTGGCCTAAAATGGGAGTCAAAGTCGGCAAAATCGCCGATTCGTAAATATCGCTGACACATCAAAATTCACGAGAGCATAATTTCGTAAATTTTCCATCAAATTTCGTACTTTTTGTTTTATTACATTCACAAAAAGATTCTCTACCATTTCATAAGAAAAAATAAAAGAATTTTTTTTTGAAAATTCTTGGACACTGGGGCACCACTTCAGATTTTGGCCTTGGACCCTGAAAGGGTTAATAATAATAATAACAATAATAATGCATAATAAATAATAATACTACATCATTTACCTTGGAGAAGAGATGCTGGCAAAGGTTAATGAGGGAGAAGAGATGCTGGGCACAGTGGCATATGCTGTCAGGAGTTCATTTCGTTTCGTCCTTTTTCTATCGCTTAATTGCTTCACTTTTAATGTTACACTCTTAGTTTGTGTTTATCAATGATTTCCTGCTTTAATTCCATGGAAATCATCCTCTTTTTCTTCTCAGCACTGTCCTTTGCAGTTGCTTTCTTAGGACCCATGGTTAAAAACAGGAAATTCTGCAAATTAACTGCATGAAACCTAAGCAAATCATGAGAATTATCTCCACTGCCAGTTGAAGCGCACGCGGACTGAGTGTTGTTTTCATACACATAAGCCAATGATGATCCTTTTTAAATCACTTATTCTCTCTAGGCTGGAATACTGCTGTACATTAACATTCCCATTCAAGGCAGGTGAAATTGCAAAACTAGAGAATGTACAGAGAACCTTTACTGCACATATAAGTTCCATCAAACACCTTAACTATTGGGAGCGCCTGGAAGCACTTGCCTTGTACATACTCACTAGAGCGCAGGCGAGAGATATATATCATAATCTACACCTGGAAGATTCTGGAGGGACTGGTCCCTAATGTGCACACAGCAATCACTCCATACAAAAGCAAAAGACTTGGCAAGCGATGCAGCATATCTCCAGTGAAAAGTAGGGGCATCACTGGTACACTAAGAGAAAATGCAATGAATGTCTGGGGCCCAAGACTGTTTAACAGCCTCCCACCAGCAATAAGGGGCATTACCGGAAGACCCCTAGTTGTCTTCAAGAGGGAGCTGGACAGATACCTAAAGACGGTGCCAGATCAGCCGGGATGTGGTTCGTACATTGGATTGTGTGTGGCCAGCAGTAACAGCCTCGTTGATCAGGCCCTGATCCACTGGGAGGCCTGGTCATGGACCGGGCCGCAGGGGCGTTGATCCCCGGAATGCCCTCCAGGTAAACTCTAGGTATAGTGCCATCGCATGGTGGTGTTCTCAAACTCACTTATTTGTAGTATGATTATTATTATTATAGTATTACAGTGGACCCCCGCTTAACGATCACCTCCCAATGTGACCAATTATGTAAGTGTATTTATGTAAGTGCGTTTGTACGTGTATGCTTGGGGGTCTGAAATGGACTAACCTACTTCACAATATTCCTTATGGGAACAAATTCGGTCAGTACTGGCACCTGAACATACTTCTGGAATGAAAAAATATCGTTAACCGGGGGTCCACTGTATTTATTATTAGTCGTATGTACGTATTATTACAGTAATTTATATAATTATATTATGTATATTATGTAATTATTATATACATATTATTATTATTATTATTATTATTATTATTATTATAATGCTCTTGCTTACCATTTGGAATTTTTATTCACACAAAAAAATAGATAATTTACTGTTATGCATTATTGTAATAATTATATAAATAATGTCAACCCATTCATGACTGCATACACTATTTGGAATGGCCCCTCGGACGGGTATTGTTTACTCTTGAACATTGGCAAAAATCAATCATTTCTGCTAATTTGAGCTCATTTTCAAGGTACTTATTGTCATGAAATCAGTCAAAATCATATCTATTTCTGTAATATATCTTCCATTCTGTCAAATGAGAAGTTTTTGAGTTTCTCCTCAAAAACAAGGCATGGCAATGGGAAATCCCCACAGCTCCTTGCTCACCAACTTGTATATGGAATTCTTTGAGACTAGACTTCTTCAAAATATTCTCCCAGATAAAACTAGGTGGTTCAGATATATAGATACATAGAGGCCTGCTGCCCCACATATCCACAGCCTGGTTGATCTGGCACCTGGTGAAGACACTTGTCCAGTGTCCTCTTGAAGGCTTCTGCACTTGTTCCAGCCATGTTTCTGATATCTTCTGGTAAGATGTTGAATAGTCTGGGACCCCAAATGTTGCTGCAGTGTTCCCTTATTGTCTTCACTGCACCCCTGCTCCTCACTGGGTTTATTTTGCACTTCGTTCCATATCTCTCTCCACTATGTTGATATGGCCATTTGCAGATTTGAGACCAGGCCCTCAAGTACTTTTCAGGTATATATTATTATGTATCTCTCCTCCACTCCAATGAGTACATGTTCAAGACTTGAAGGAGTTCCCAGTAATTTAGGTGCTTTACTGGTTCATTGTGAGCTGTACATGATCTCTGTATTTGTACCAGTTCTGATATTTCTCTTGCATTGAACGGGGCAATCAGCACTGTGCAATATTCTAAATGAGGGAGCATTAGCGATTTGAAGAGTGTCACCATTGGCATTATTTTCCTTGTTTTGAAAATTCTCAATACTCACCCCATCATCCTCCTGGCTGTCATGATCTTTGTCTTATTATGTTCTTTAAAAGAAAGGTCAGCTGACATTATTATGCCCAGGTCTTTTATGTGTTTCTTATGTTCTGTTTGGTGACCCTCTTGAGTTTTGTATACAGTGTTCCTTTTGAGTTCTTCATTCTTTACATACCCAAGCAGCTGGAACTTATCACCATTGAATGTCATGTTGTTTGCCACTGTTCACTGGAAAACCCTATTTATGTCTTCCTATAATTTTTCAGTATCCTTTACCGTAATGACTTTCATGCTTATTTTAGTATCATCTGCAAATGATATAAAAGTGTGATGGGTGTTTTTATCTATGTCTGCTATGAGGATAAGAAAGAGCAGACGTGCCAGGACAGTGCCTTGGGGAACTGAGCTTTTACCCCGCTGATGCTGGGTCTTGCTCTGTTTACTACTATTTTCTGTGTTCTTTGTGTTTGGAACCCAAAAATCCATCTGCCTTCCTTCCCCTTACTGTCCATGGCCTTCATTTTGTGTGCTATCACTCCATGATCACATCAAATGCCTTTGCAAAATCTGTGTAAATCACATCTGCGTTTTGGTCGTCTTCCAGTGCCTCCGTAATTCTGTCATAATGGTTCAGCAGCTGTGACAGACACGATCGTCCTGCTCTAAAACCATGCTGGTTCGGGTTATGCTGGTTGTGCTGGTCCATGAAATTTGTAATCTGCTGTCTCATCACTCATTCGAAGATTTTAATGATGTGAGAAGTTAGGGCTACTGGTCTGTAATTTTTAGCTAGTGCTATACTACCTCCCTTATGCAAAGGAGCTATGTCTGCACTCTTTAAGGCCTCCAATATTTCGCCTAGATCTAAGCTCTTTCTCCTCAGAATACTGAGGGCTTGTGCTAGTGCTAGTGGGACTTTGTGCTTCTTTATAAATATGGCAACCATGAATCTGGTCCATGTGCTGAATAAGGGAGCATGTTATCCATTTCTTTTTTGAAATGCAGTTGGTCTGCATGGCCTTCTGCTGGAGTGAAAAATGTTTCTGCATTCTCTATCTTGCTGTCATTTAGTGGGTTGCTGAACACCGACTCATACTGTTCTTTTAGGATTTCACTCGTTTTCTGTTCATCGTCAGTATACAAATTTCCTCTCAGTAGTGGTCCAATTCTACAGGGAGTTCTTAGCTTGGATTTTGCATAGAAATTGAAATATTTTGGGTTTCTTGCAATATCCTGTATATCACAGGTGTTACACTGGTGTACATATTTCATTTTTTCAGTAGTTTTCATTGTTACATCTGTCATCTCTACCACACCTGTTATCACAATCATCATGCCTGTTATCATAACCATCGTCATATCAATCACTATTATAACAGGTGTTGCAGGTATGATAATAGCAAGTTGTGATAACTTGTTAACCAGTATTGTTATGTTGCAGGCACGGTCAGAGGAGCAGGTAGCAGCAGCACGAGCCTGGCTGCAGGCAGAGAGTGTGTGGCTGGTACATAGAGGCGGCTTCTGTGCTGCCAGGCAGCTGCGGGAGACAGATTCTGGAGAAGCTTTACCTGATGGACGTGTTAGAGTCAAGCTAGAACACAATGGTGATGTTATTGAGGTTGACGAGGACGACGTCGAGAAGGTTAGTAGTACATATATATGTCTTATGTTGGGAAGGTTAGTAGATAATTCTTATGTTGAGAAAGTTGGTAGATACAGTGGTACCCTGAGTTTCGTACTGCTCCCAACTCGAGCAATTATGTAAGTGTATTATTTGAGTGCTTTTGTAGGTGTATTTTTGGGGGTCTGAAACGGACTAATCTAATTCATATTACAGTATTCCTTATGGGAACAAATTCGTGCCTGAAATGCCTAGTCATGCTAGGCATGATAGTGGCCCTCTCAATAATTAGTATTTTATAATATGCAAACCACAAATTGTAACCAATATTCTATAATATGTAAACCCTGCATTGTAATCTATACAGAGAATAAACTTAAATGATACAGATTCTTTTTCCAAGCTTAGAAAGAATCCCTTAGATTCTATTAACAGTAATTTCAATAAAACAGTAAAATTGACTACTGAAAGGCAAAGGTGAATTAATTAAAAATTCATGTCCACCAATCCATCTTTATTGTATATGTATGGATTAATAAATACACACAAGCCAGGTAATACAGCCAGACTTAATATTAGCTCCATAGGTTCAGTTTCCTATAAATTATCTAAATGGCTAGTAGATATGTTGAACCCAATTGTTGGAAAAATTTCATACTTAAATGGTAAAAACAATATAGATTTAGTAGATAAATTAAGCACCATGACTGACTGAAATGATTGCAGTATGGTTAGCTTTGATGTTACTTCTTTGTTTACAAAAGTTCCAGTAGATGATTTATTAAGATTCCTATCTGATAAACTTGTTAATTATGATTTACCATCGCCAGTGCCTACAATCATTGAGCTTGTTAAATTCTGTATTGTTGATGCAAAGTTTGTGTTTAATGGCGAGTTCTACACTCAGAAGTTTATGGCAATGGAAAATCCTCTCTCACCTGTCCTTAGTAATTTGTACATCGAATATTTTGAAACTAAATCCTTCCCAGTAGAGCTAAGTGGGATAGTATGCTGATGATATTTTATGTCTTATGCCTAAGACTATAAGTATAAACTATTTCCTTAAATTAATTTAGCTCATTCCATAAATTTTATTGTTGAGTTTGAACAAAATAACTTATTGCCATTTTTAGATGTCTTAATTATTAAATAGAACCATGATTTTAAATTTACAGAAAGTCAACAAATAACTGTTTTATGTGCACTATTATTCTTCATGTCATGATGGTGTTCAAACTTACTGTATTGTCTTCTCGTCAATGTTTTTGAGAGCTTGCGCATTTGCAGCCCAGAGTTCATAGATGAAATTTTTAAGATTTATGAAATAGCTTATGATCTAAAATACCCAAAACACTTAATTGATAAATTTTTATAAGATCGCTAGAAATACTTTTTACAATTCAAAAAAGGACAAACAACCTTATTCAATTATAAATATGTTGGTCCTCCCTTACCATGAAAACTTTCTTGATATATCCTCTCTACTTAAGAATTTTAATATGAAAGTTGTGTTTAACTTTTAAATATACATGTAATTAATACTTATTATGGAGGCGAATGATACTTGGGTCCTGACGATCTGTTGGAGTATGAGCAGGGTAATATTTAGTGAAGGGATTCAGGGAAACCAGTTATGTTCATATAGTCGGACTTGAGTCCTGGAAATGGGAAGTACAATGCCTGCACTTTAAAGGAGGGGTTTGGGATATTGGCAGTTTGGAGGGATATGTTGTGTATCTTTATACGTATATGCTTCTAAGCTGTTGTATTCTGAGCACCTCTGCAAAAGCAGTGATAATGTGTGAGTGTGGTGAAAGTGTTGAATGATGATGAAAGTATTTTCTTTTTGGGGATTTTCTTTCTTTTTTGGGTCACCCTGCCTCGGTGGGAGACGGCCGACTTGTTGAAAAAAAAAAAAAAAAAAAAAAATGAGGACCCCATTGGAAATAAGTCACCGACTTTTTTTGGGTTATCCTAGGTATTCTACACATTTGCTGCTATGTATGATAATCTACATAACTGTATTTATATGTACCTGTACCTGAATAAAAGCTTTCTTACGAATCAGTAAAAAAAAATTGATAAAAAATTCCCCTAAAAATGCTGATGATTGTGTCTGCATGATTCCTTGTAAAAAATGTGATAAACTTTATTACAGTCAAATTAGGAAAAGTCTTGAACTAAGATTACAATAATATAAATACAGTGGACCCCCGCATAACGATCACCTCCGAATGCGACCAATTATGTAAGTGCGTTTGTACGTGTAGTATGTTTGGGGGTCTGAAATGGACTAATCTACTTCACAATATTCCTTATGGGAACAAATTCGGTCAGTACTGGCACCTGAACATACTTCTGGAGAGAAAAAATATCGTTAACCGGGGGTCCACTGTATAGCATTAGAAGTGAACAAGATTCTAATGCTCTGTTTATTCATGTGAGAGATTTTAACCATCAAATTGATTTTCAAAAGGCCAAGAAAGTTATAACAAGCAGGTCCATGGTTGAAAGAAATATAATAGAATCAAGTTTCGTAAAATATAGGATTATACAAACTGGATTCATTCATAAGTAGTAAAATTTAGAAAGAATTTAAAACACATTCGATGAGTTAAAATCTTTAAGCTTGGGTAGAATTTAAGCTGTGTCTGACAAGTCGTTGACCACCTTCCTACATCATCATAAAGTGTCAGGTGTCGTGAGGTGTAATCTCATCCTCATATGCCTTCTCTTGATCTTTTATGTTTACAGTTCCTTGATAATGTGAGAAATCATGAAAGCGCTTGGTTCACTATTTTTTCCACAGTGGTTGTTCTGTATATTGTGATTTCACCTATTTTACTGTGATCTTATTGCATGTATATACACATATAATTTTAAAAATATACGAATACACATAGACACACTCTGGATTTAACAGTACCTACCTTGTATAACAGGCCAACCCTCCTCCATATGACCGGTGTGAGGACCTGGCACAGCTGCGCCACCTGAATGAGTCATCAGTACTACACACCCTCCGTCAGCGCTATGGTTCAAACCTCATCCATACCTACGCAGGGGCAGCCATGGTTGTCATTAACCCCACCAGTCCACTGGCTATCTACTCTGAGAAGGTCAGTATGTACAGTCATAGTTTCTTATTGAGTGTTGTAATATAATGATCCTTTTAGTTTGTGTTAGTCATATTATGATACTCTTAGTGGAGTCTTTGGTAAGTTGACAGAGGCCCTTTGTCACTGAGGTTAGTGAGAAAAAATCTGAGGTCTTCCCTGTAGTGTGTGGTCTGTGTGATCTTTACTGTAGTGTGTGGTCTGTGAAGTCTTCCTTGAAGTGTGTGGTCTATGAGGTCTTCCTAACAATGATCTTTAAGTCACTTGTTTTCTCTAGGCTGGAATATTTCAGTGCATTAACATCCTCTTTTAAGGCAGGTGAAATGCAAATCTAAAGAATGTCTAGAGAATCTTCACTGCACATTAAAGTTCGATCATGCTCCTAAGTTACTGTGAATGTTTGAAGTCCCTTAACCTGTGCTTTTTGGAACGAAGGTGAGAAAGATGGATTGTAATCTACACCTGGAAAATCTTAGAGGGACTGGCCCTAAATCTGCACAAAGAAATAACTTCGTACGAAAACACGAAGATTGGCAGACAGTGCAAAATGCCTCCAATAGAAAGCAGGGGTGACATGAGTAAACTTAGACAATACTGTAAGTGTAAGGGGCTCAAGACTATTCAGTTGTTGCCAGTAATACATAAAGGGGATAACCAGCAGATGCCTTGGTGTCTTCAAGACAGAACTGGATAAGTTCCTTAAGTTGGTTTCTAACCAGCTGGACTGTGGTTCATGCACTGGATTGTTTGCAGCCAGCAGTAAAAGCCTAACTGATCAAGTGAGCGTGGCCTGGTCCTGGACCAGGCCGCAGGGACGATAATCTTCTAAAACATTCCTCAGGCATTCTCTTGGGCGCATTCTGTAAGTTCATGCAAAAGTTATTCTTGAACATGTTCACACCCTCAGTCACCCATCCAGTTACTGTACTCCCCACCCACCTCCCACCACTCACTCTCTTCAGTCCCTTCCTTCACTTAGTCATCCATACAACTGCTCGTTGACATATCCACCCAGCCACCTGGCGGGGTTGCTCGGCTCTTGATGGAGGACTGGTGGATGGAGGAGAGTTGATGGATGGGTGGAAGGGAATTGGTGGTGAATGAGCTCTAGCTCCTGGGATCCTTGCTCACTGGGGGTCCCATGTGTCAGTGGGATGCCCAAGGGGTAACTCTAGCTTTTGGGTCAACATTCAGAAATTTCTTATTTGCTGAAGGTTCCAGCTCTTGGGCCCCGAGTTATAGCTGAAGGAGTCTTTTCATATATACTGATATTGTAAACACATCTTGGATATGTTTAATCATTATTATAAAAAGATAGATAGATAGAGAGAGAGAGAGAGAGAGAGAGAGAGAGAGAGAGAGAGAGAGAGAGAGAGAGAGAGAGAGAGAGAGAGAGAGAGTGAGTTGACACCCAAGTGAAAGCCTTCACTGGACACATCCTTAATCTACAACAAGAACACATTCCTCACCGGCAATATGTGACAAGCCTACAGATCAGCCTTGGTTTGGCTTTCGTTGTAGAGAGGCTGCTACTGCTAAGTACATTCATGGTGAAGGTATAAGAGATATCCTACCACCTATAACAGGAACTTGCACAGGCAAGCCTGTAGGCATATGGGTGATGTTCAAAAGTGGGCCATTGCTAAATTGGAGATGGACACAAAAAGAAAGCTAGTATCAGGTAGGGTAGGCTCCAAAACCTGGTGGTCCCTGGTCAAGGACAGACAAGGTTATCTGCCTGATGAACTCATTCCACCTCTACTAGTAGTCGAGAGAAAGCGGACCTCTTTGCCGAACACTTTGCTACCAAAATGCAAGTTCCTGATCCGGCAAAGGACCCTCCTTGGCTAGCTGCAAGAACTGTGTTGAAACTGTCTGTGTTGACAATAAGGCAGGAATAGGTGCATTTCCTCCTTAAATTGCTTGACCAAGAAAAGGCTGTGGGCCCAGACAAGTTGAGCCCAAGATTGTTGAGATGATGTGCAGACCAACTAGCAGCACCTCTAACTTGCATCTTTCAGCACTGCCTAGTACAGTGTAAATGGCCTTCTCTGTGGAAAGAGGCAAATGTAGTCCATGTTCACAAAAAGAAGAGCAGAACAGAAATCAGCAACTACAGACCAGTGTCACTCCTGTCAATCACTGGCAAGCTCCTTGAGACAATACTCTTAAGACAAATGACAGAGTTTTTTTGACTACCACTCGTTACTTTGTGTTCATCAATATGGTTTCAGGAAAAGTTACTCTGCTGCTGATCTGTTGTTAAATCTCTCCACTAAGTGGCACCAGTCACTGGATGAATCCAAAGTCAGCTGTGTGGTAGCACTGGACATTGCTGGTGCTTTCAACCAGGTGTGGTACCAGGGCCTCTTAGCAAAACTGCAAGCTCTGGGAATTGCAGACTCTACACTATGTCTCCTCAGTGATTACCTTCATGGTAGATCTCTAAGGGTAGTTCTCAGTGGAACAGAATCAGCAAGACATCCTATTGGGGCCAGTGTTCCACAAGGAAGCATTCTACTTCCACAAGGAAGCATTCTACTTCAATGACCTTCTTCATCTCATCCCAGAATCCCATGCATATGCAGACGACTGTACACTGACATTCACTTATTCAAGACAAGAAATGCCAGCTGCTCTAAGCTACATCAGTCACCAGCTAAGAGCTATATCAGCTTGGGGAAATAGATGACAAGTAACATTTGCACCTGAGAAAACACAAATGATAATGATCCCTAGGGACCATGATGGTAATGCTGGTGCAGTAGTAAGGATGAATGGGAGGGTGTTGGCACCTGGGGAAGTTTATATCCTTGGGGTGAAATTTGACTCCAAACTGACCATGAAAACCAAGTTGTAAATCTTGCAAACAAGGCAGCCAGGAAGCTTACAGCACTTCGCCGTATCTCGCATCTGCTTGACAGCAGGAGTTGCAAGATTTTGTACGAGGCACAAGTACGCTCACACCTTGAGTATGCTCCACTTTCTTGGTTCGCCTGCTTCTCTTCTAATCTGTGACTGCTTGACAGAGTAGAGAACAGAGCAAGACGTCTCATCTCTCGCCTGGACCAATCCTGGATAGATCTGTCATTTCAGCAGAACCTTCAACACAGGGGAGATACGGGTGGCCTTACTGTTATGTGCAAGGCCAATATTGTCAAAGTACCACACTTTGATCCACTTCAAGGACAGTGTGAAGCAAGCAACTTCACTCTGGCTGTACCCTTCTGCAGAACATCACTTCATCTGAGATCATTTATCCCCAGGGTGACTCGAGTATGGAACACATTTGTACAGCATTCTGATGTCAGCGAGATAGTTGATCAGATGAAAATGCTGGCCCACAGATGGCTCCAACTTCATCCTGTTCCCTACTTGTATGTTTAATAACAATAAAAATGCTTTTAAATGAGCTGATGTAGGTAACAGCTCTTAGCTTGTCAATAAAGTTAGGAATCCTTAACCTGTAAATAACTTGTCAATAAAGCTAGGGATCCTTAACCTAACCTTGTCAAACCCTGTGTAAAAAAAAAAAAAAGAAAAAGAGAGAGAGAATGAGAGATAGAGAGAATGGGAGATAGAGAGAATGGGAGAGAGAGAATGAGAGAGAGAGAGATAAAGTCAGCTGATCAAATGAAAATGCTGGCCCACAGATGGCTCCAACTTCATCCTGTTCCCTACTTGTATGTCTCATAACAATAAAAATGCTTTCAAATGAGCTGATGTAGGTAATAACTCTTAGCTTGCCAATAAAGTTAGGAATCCTTAACCTGTAAATAGCTTGTCAATAAAGCTAGTGATCCTTAACCTAACCTTGTCAAACCCTGTGTAAAAAAAAAAAATAATGAGAGAGGGAGAGAGAGAGAGAAAGAGAATGAGAATGAAGATACATGAATGAATGAAGTAGTTTCCCTGGTGAAGGTTGTTGGTTTAGTTGAGGAATCACTGGTTTGATTCTTTATGAAATTTCAGATACTTTGGGTGGAACTCTTAATGTTTCTAATAAAAGAACCAGTTTGATACTGTACAAGAATTTGAATAATGGAGATAGAGAATTGTCATGTAATGTGTAATGTATTTGTATCTTAAAGGCTTTAGGATAAATTTAAGGCTGAGGATAATACTGTCTGAGTTAGGATAATATTATGAGCTAGAATAATATCATCTGAGAACTTAGAAAAATCTAAGATTCTTCTAGTTATCGTGTATTTTAAAAGGGGGAGAGAAAGGGAGATGTGTTATATGGGCACTTTGGTTATTCTGTTTCCATGTTTCTCTGTGTGAGAAAGCAAGCTGGTTTGTGTAGTGTTTGTAGTATCAGAAATTAATAGTCTGGTTGAGTTCATAAGTTTCTGGTGTCGACCATCTTAAGTGACCATTTGTGAAAATAGGAGATTATAAGCTCACTGGAAATGCTGATTGGAGCTTTAACCTCTTAAGAAATCTCTGGCTTCCGTGTGTAAACTTTTTCTTGGGAGCAACTTATACTAGTGGAAGTCAGGCCTGTATAAATAATTGCTGAAGTAGAGTGGTCAGTGAGAGGTTGTGTCCTGGCTGATTTGGTAGGGTGTTCTGTGGCTTGACTTAAGAGGTTGGTGTGTATTGACTCCCAAGGGATTTGGTACATGTCTGTAGTATAATTGTGTGAGTGTTTTACAGATATTACTTGGTATCATTCCTGCTTCTAACAGTATTCCCATATGCTTGGTTCTGTAATAGTGGAATAGCAATTGTTAAGTTTTGCACTAAAGACATTAGGCTAGCATGTGAAATGGACTTGAATGTCACCCATTTTAATGTCAGCACTTATTAGTAATGTCGTGTGGGAGTTCGGATGGAGATAAGATGGATAAGGTAAACACCTTGTTGGATGGTAACACTATATATATTGTCAGACTGTGATGGGTGGTGGGAGCCCAGGCCTGCCTGCTCGCCTGTCTATGTCTATCCGTCGAGTGAGAGCGAGGCAGCTCGTCTCACTGCCTCAAGCTGTACCCCGTGAC